CCCCCATCCCCCATCCCCCACCCCTCTCGCCGCCCCCCAAAATTCTCCCCGGAATCCCCCGGGTCGCTCACTCGCCCCCTGCCCGCGCCACAACTGCGCATGCGCGATCCGCGCTTCCGCATTCCCGTTGCCACGACAACGTGCGGCCCGTGGTAACGCGATCGCTCATTGGTGGAGACAGCTCAGGCCGCGCCCAGAAAGGGTGGGGTCACCTGTAACGCATGCGCATCAGAGTCCCCGTGGTTCGAGTGCCCCCCACAGCGACTGCTGCGCCATTTTGAGTGTGGCGAAGAGTGGCGGCACCATTTGGGGGTGCCTCCCTCAGCCATCTTGTGTGTACCGCCGCCATCTTGGCTGTCCCGGCGGACGCCCCAAATTAGGAAAAAATCCCCAAAATTTGGGAATTCGCGGCTTCCCCGACCCCTCCCGAAAATCTCAGGATGAGGGAGGGCCCATCCCAGCCGCTTCTAGTGCCTAAACCTCCTCTGGAGGTGCCACATTTGTGTAATAGCAGCTCAAGTATTGCTTTTTCCCCAAATCCGGGAACTTTTCCCCAAACTTTTGCTCCAGAATGAGCCGTTCTGCCCAGTATCGACCACTTTGCCCCACTATGAACCCAATCTTGACCTGAGAATGAACAATTTTTGCCCAGTCTTGACCCGTTTGGGCCCAAAATGAGCCAAATCTCCCAATCCAGGACAGTTTTGCCCATGTTTTGCCCAATCCAGACCCATTTTTCCCCCAAAAAATCAGTAATTTCACCTCATTTTCACCTGCTTCAGCTGAAATTGAGCGAATTCTGCCCAGTCTTGACCCAAAAAGAGCCATTTGGACCAATCTTGAGCTGTTTTGCCCCAAAAATGAAACATTTCACCTCAATCTTGATCCTGAATGTGCTTTTTTTACCCAAATCTTCACCCCTCTTGTCAAAAAAAATCACCGTTTTCACCAATGCTGGACCCATTTTGCCCAAAAATGAGCCCTGGGGGCCGTTTTGGGGGGGGGGTTCCTCTCTGTTTTGGGGCTGCTTTTGGGATTTTTCACCCCAAATTTCAGGTCATTCCCCCCAAATTTTGGGAGTTTTCCCTTCATTTCCCATGTTCCTCCCAAATTTTGGGTTTCTCCTCCAAATTTTGGGTTTCTCTCCCCCAATTTCAGGCGCCCCCCAATAAATTTCAGGCGCCCCCCCCCAAATTTCGAGTTTATCCCAAATTTCCGGGTTACTCCCCCCAGTTTTACACCTTTTTGCCCCCCCCCCAATTACTCAGTTCCCCCCTCCCTCCCCTTCCCGGATTTTGGGGGTCTCACACGGGTCGGGGGGGGGGGGGGGGGAGACCCCCAAATTTACTGCACGGACACCACAGCACAGAACCGACCACGACACCACGGGGGGGCCCAAAAACTGGGGGGAGGACACCCCAAAACCCCCCCCGGGATGGGGGAGGGCGCCGGGCAAAGACCCCCCCCACCAAAAAACCCCCCTTGACAACACCAACCCCCCCCGCCCCCCCAAATTCACCCGGGGGGGGGAGGGGCGCGGGGGGGGCCCCCCTTTTTTCCCGTCATGCAACACTTTGTGCCCCCCCCCCCCACCCCAAATTTGCAGCCCCCTCCCCAAATTTCCCCCTCCCCCCCAGCTCTGTTATGGCTTTTGAAGGATTTTGGGGGGGGGGTCGGGGGTTTGGGGGGGTTTGGGGGGGGTTTTGGGGGGGTTTTGGCCCCCCCTAAGTGAGGGTGATGAAGGCCGAGGCCTTTTCCTTCAGCTGCCTCAGGCACAGGTGGCAGCTCCAGCTCCCTGTGCCAAAAACCCCGGATTTTACCCAAAAAAACCCATGGGATTCACCCAGAAAAATCAGGGAGAGCTCCCTGAGCCCCAAAACGCCCAGAATTCGACCCAAAATCCGCCCCATAACCCAAAACTCCACATAAAATCCCACTAAAATCCCACTGAGCTCCCCTTCCCAAAGCCCCAAATCCACCCCAAACCAGCAAAAAATACCCCAAAATTCTGCCTGAATCTGTCCCAAATCCCCCCAAAACGCCCCGAAATTCCCTTTCCTACCCCCAAATCCCCCCCCCAAATCTCTTCACACGCCTCCAAATCCCCACAAATCCCCTCAAAACACCAAAATCCCCCCAAACCAACACAAAATTCCCCCAAATCCCCCCACGTAAAATCCCCAAATCACCCCAAATTCCCCAAAAATCCTCCCCCAATCCCCCATAAAAATCCCCCAAATCCCTCCAAAGTCCCCAAATTCCCTCAAGTTCCCCCATATCTCCCCAAAAATCCGCAAATCCCCCCCAAATCTCCCTAAATCCCAAAAAATCCCCCCAGATCCCGAATTCCGGGGAATCCCCCCGGATTTGGGTACCCTCGGGGGGCTCGGCCATGGGCGGGCTCAGGCAGTACATGTGGTAACCGCGGTCGCAGTCGTCACAGAACAGCAGCTGGTCCTGGTTTGGGGCCAAAAACCGGGATTTGGGAGAAATCGGGGATTGGGGGGAAAATTGGGATTTTGGGGTGGATTTTGGGGTGGATTTTGGGGTGGATTTTGGGGTGTCCCTCACGTCGTTCTCGGCGGTGCCGCAGAGGCTGCAGGACTTGCACTCAATGCACTGCCAGCGGTAGGAGCGCGCCGCCGCCGCCATGGCCAGCGAGAACTGCAGGCATGACGGGTGCCCTGCGCCCCAAAAACCCCCAAATCATCCCAAAACCGCCCCAAAACCACCCCAAAAACCCCCCCAAAAATCACCCCAAAAACACCCCAAAACCGTCCCAAAACCACCCCAAAAACACCTCAAAACCACCCCAAAACCACCCCAAAACCATCCCAAAAACACCCCAAAACCGTCCCAAAACCACCCCAAATCCCCACACGGCCAAATCCCCCAAATGGCCCCAATGTCCCCGCCATGCCCCCCGGTGTCCCCGCCATGTCCCCAATGTCCCCGTGCCCCCCGGTGTCCCCAATGTCCCCGTGCTCTCCCGTGTCCCCCCGGTGTCCCCGGTGTCCCCAATGTCCCCAATGTCCCCGTGCTCTCCCGTGTCCCCCCGGTGTCCCCGGTG